TTATTTAACTTATATGCCGCCCACTCTACCCAAAGATCTCTGGGCGGCTTACAACAATTAAAATTCAATTAAAATACAATAAAAGATAAAATGATTAAAATACAATTAAGATAGATACTTTACAAATTGCCATTGGGACCCCAGGGGCAGAAAATCAGCTCATTTGAAATGTGGTGTCGGAGGACAACCATACAGATATGAAAAACAGCAAGAAAATCAGAAAAGTGTGTGCTCATTCAAGTCAAGCCTGAACTCTCACTACAGCAAAAATGAGTAAACAGGCTTTCCTAGCATGCACATACAATGAGAATACAGAACTGAGAAGAAAAAACATTGCTGGGGAAAGTGGAAGGAAAGGCTGTAGGTAAAAAGCCAAATATGAGACAGATTGTTTCCGCAAAGGAAATCATAGCTGTAAGATTGCAGACCTGAGCAGAACTTACTGGAAAAAACAATATCACTAGGAGGAGTGTGCCATAGGAAGAGAGAACAACCTAAAGAGTTGTTGTGGTTTGCAAGATTTGAGCAGATCTGTTAATGACATTTTGGAGGTTTCAGAAGTGACTTGAGGGCACATAACATATTTGGATGTTTTTTTCCTTAATTGCCAGCCAACTGTACAATGAATGATAGGTGGAATGGTTGAAACTCTGACAGGATATAGAAACCAAAGCTCTGCTAACCTCAAGTAAGACCGTCCCCAGCCACAAAGCATAACACAGTAATTTCACAGCTTAAAATGAGTGGGCTTCTGAAAATTTGTTCTCTGTTCTTTTTTACAACCTGATACAGAATCCCTTTGCCAGCCTCCAATGCCTGTTTACTGTAGCTGGGAAGGAATTAAAAAATTCTCCTCCTGAGAATCTGCTCATTGAGTCTTACAAGTCTGTTTATTTATGATGTTGTTATTCAGCAGAATCTTATAGTGGGCAGCAATAAATATAATGAAGCCCCCAAATAATATGACAACACAATTCCCCGTATATCTGCCCATAACTTCTGTGGGACTTTCTCCCCATTATGTGTCTATAGAGTTGAAACTAAATTTGTAGATTTTACCAAGGCATTTGCACAACATGGCCAGCCTCCCTCCCATTCCATAGCTCTGCCAGTGCAGTGAGAGTGATGTCACTGACAGTGGCAGTTTGCTGCTAATTCAGGAGTTTCCTGCTTTGATCTGGAGTTGTTTACAATTTAATCTCTTTGCACACAAGTTGTGTATAACCCAAACTCAAAGCAGAAATTCTTGAATTAGTGGCAATCTGCTGGTGGTGGTGGCATTATTGCCATTACACTGGAAGGGCTGTGGATTCAAATGCTAGCCAGTGTATTGAAAAATGACTTTCTCATTCACCTTGTTCACATCACCACTCTCATTATCACTGTTTTCAAAATGTACTTTTTCCTCACTGTACATTTTGGTTTAAGATGTATTTTAAGTCTTTAATTACTATGCAGTGAAACAATATGTAGTCATTTGTCATATTTGTCATTCTAGAGAGCTATGACAGCTGTAAAGTAAACATGCACTTTTTAAAAAAGGCTCTCTATTAGAAAACCATAGGTGGAACAGGCTGAGAAAGGTTTTTGTCCCTCCCCCCTTTCCCCCTTACCCCTTGGAGACCTATTGTACCACTGCCTGTGTAAGAGATCTTTTGTGGCAAATAGTTGGCTTGTTATCATCTCATAAAACTAAAAAAATTCTAAATACTGTAATCAGCAATGTACCCTACCTTACACCAAGACTCACCTCATGAAAATGCCATCTGCTATACTTTTTTATGATTTAAAAGCTAATCTGAAAACTATCACCATAGATATTTCACTAGAAATAGTCGCTGACCCATATCCTTATTCTGTTTGGTCTTAATAGAAATAAAATAATAGAACACATCATAACCCCTCCATTTATTCCAATAGGATACATGTGACTCAAAAAAGGAGTTCAGCGCTGATAAAATAAATAGCAAAATATTAAATAATAAAAAGCTTGCCCAACAAACCTAAACTGCTGTGTTTAGGAATTTTGTATTTAAAGGGCAAATAGGTTTATGGCTGCTCAGATATTTTACTCCAAATGTGCAGTTTCCTTGCATGAGCAAAGCTTCTTCTGTAAAATAGATACGTAAATAAGGATAATGCAGGCTTTTGGTTGTATGAGAAGGTAATCAAACAGCCTTCATAACTTGCTATATCTAATGTTGTACTATCTTCTGTTATATTTAAGGCTTGTGAGAGAGATCTGCAGTGTGGTGGAGGGATGTGCTGTGCAGTTAGTCTCTGGATTCGGAGTCTTCGAATGTGCACTCCAATGGGCCACTTGGGTGAAGACTGTCATCCCTTGAGTCATAAAGTGAGTGCGTTATTCTGGTACCTTGTACAATAGTGTAACTGACGGGGTAGAAGGAAATACGAATATATTTTCTTGCAAGTCAAACCGCATAAACTATTATCCATTGCAAAAGTGCAGGAACATATACGTTGCCCAGGAAGTTATCTTTTTATGGAAATAACGTCATAAGGACATACGCAAGTAAATTTATTACTGTCAGTATTATTCCATTAAAAAATCTAAAGTTTAAAAAGGTTTATTTATTTCTTTTGCAGTACAGAAGATATCAGTATTTTGCATATAATGCTTGCTTTTGTCTTACATAATCTTGGTTTTGATTTGTTGAGTATTTTTTTCACCCTATGGGCAAATTGTTAAGATATTCAAAGCTCCTCATTTTGTCCATCCAGGAAGAGAAGACAGACTGCTCCTTTTTAACTATATATGTGCAAAATCAAATTTGAAGTTCCACACTGCTTAAATACTAGAGGTTTTGTTATAAACTTGATGATCTTTATTTTCTTACTGTCCCTATTACCACACTCTGAACTATGATTTCAGTCTGTTAACACTGTGTCCTGTAAACATGGGTGAAGCTTCCTTTTCAAATACCTAAAGGTACACAAAATAACAAAAATGGATTTTCCATAGGATGGCAGCAGTTCAATCAGCAATTTCTTTTCTTGGATCCAGACTATGTTTGTTGTAATTAACTTCTGCTGAAATCAGTGAGACCGATTCAATCACTGATTGCAATGGGGTCTGCATTTAACTAACTTACTTTTGATCCAAGAGCCAGCATAGCATAGTGAACAGAGTGTTGGACTAGTTTTCAGGAGACCAAGGTTCAAAACCCTGCTTGGCACTGAAATTCACGGGGGGGGGGGGCAACGGGAAACCACTCCTAAAACACCTCACATGCCTTGGAAATTCTGTTAGCTTTGCAAGTTGGAAACAACTTGACAGCCTATAAAAATAACAGGACAACAAAGGAGCACAGCATCTTGTAAGAGATAACTAAGCCAATTAAAATAACTTATGAACTTCTTTATATACCTTAAGCACCACATTGTGGACCTTCCAAGATTATCTGCCAAACAAACTTTGAGTTCCCTTGAAAGTTCATGAAGAAAAGAGTAGTTTCTGGCCCCCTCCCTTCACACAACTAAAGTAATTTTACAGTTAGCTCAGTAACAGGGAACAAACTGATCTGGCCTTGAAGTTTGCCCAGAAGATAAACTGCAGATTGTACTCCCATTCCTCTGAATCTGCCCTCACCTTCTACCTACCAAAAGTTGTTCCCAGGCACTGACAGAAAGCCTGAATTTGTCCAGAGAGGTGCACAACCCATTTTCTTCAATTTCTCATGTTTTTTTACGTCTACAAGAGTATTCTACATAGAAACATATTTAAACATTTCACAAATAAAATATTTTGAGATGTTCTATAAAGATATGTTGGAGATATCTCTATACATATAGTTTGGGGGGGCGCTCTATGTATATCTGTGCATTTATTTATTTGATGCCCCATGTATCATGAGGAGCATTGGCTCTATAGGGTAGAACTCCAACTAATAGATTCAAACTACAAGAAGGGAGATCATGACTAAACATTAGGAAGAATGTTCTTACTAAGAAGTATTCAGCAACAAAACAGAAGACAGATTTGCCTTTATGGTAGGTTTTTAAAGAGTTTTGATGGCCACCTGTTAGGGATGCATTGGCTTTGAAGTCCTGCATTGGCAGGGGATTAGATTACTCTTAAGATGCACTCCAACTGTATGGTTCTGTGATAACAAGGTTTTAAGACCTTTAATAAGAGTTCAATTCCCCATTGTGCCTCCTTGACAGGGGCTGAGCCCGATGATCCGTAGGGTCCTTTCCAGCTCTGCAGTTCTAAGATGATGATTATGATAACACAGGAGAAGGCCCAGGATCTGGAGCTCCCTCCATGGGAAACCGGGCTGGTCCCTCCCTACTATTCCTCAGCCAGCAGCTAAAGATCTTTCTTTTCAGGCAGGTTTTTAATATGAAAACTGCACCTGAAGAAGGAATTTTTAAGGGGAGAGATGTATTATCATCTTTTTAAATGTATTTTTTAAATTGTTTTAAAGGGCAGCAAATATTTGATTGGATTCTGGGCACCAAATATTTAATGTTTAAATATATAATACAGGAAAAGATGTACTGGATCTGTAAAGGAGATTGAGGATGTTGTTCAGATTCCTCATGAATCAGTGTGATAACAATGTTGATTACTATAGGAACTGGTGCTCCCTGTTGTGGAATGTTTTGCTTGTCTCCATGTCTTTCATCTTTACATATTTCTTTCCAGATCCCATTTCATGGAAGGAGACTACATCACACTTGTCCTTGTGTGCCTAACCTGGCTTGTATTCAGATATCTCCTAGCAAATACAAATGTTTGCCAGACTTCAATGCTGAAGATGCCTTCTTCTAGCGGAAGCATGATGAAGGATTCTGTGCCATTATTTATTTTTACTACTAGGGACCCTGTCTCTTAATTATGATGGAAGCTGTTTGCCAGAAGGAATTGTCTAACATACTTTCTCTCCTTGTCAACATTGTTTAATCAAGATACTGTATCATAGTTTATTTTTTAATAGTATAATGGTTCCAGTTAGATAATTATGAAGCATTCTGCACATTTTACCAGTGCAAGAAAAGTTCAGCTGTACAAGTTGTGATGGGTTAGACTGAAAACAGGCTATCAGCCATATAATACACCTCATTAGGCAATGCATAAACCTCCTGATTTTGCTAATTGCAAAAACAGGCAGTATCTGGAAACTGTTAGGACTTAATTCATATTAAGTGGATTATATTTGGCTTAACGGGTTACAAACTGTGAAGGCAGTTTTAAGGGGATATTATGATTAACTCCTCTCTCCTAAAATATGGTCACATGTATACTCCTGCAAATCATTTAGAACACTAGACATTAAGAAGTGTCAAATTAGTTTGTATAAACTGGACCAAGATTTTTATGGATCTACTAAGCTAGACTGAGAATATTTTGTACTGCAATTATAGTTATATTCTTTAAATAAGGGATGGAACCTTCAGACTAGCAGCAAAATTTGATCTGCTCAGCTGGTCAGTCCAGTTGTGAAATCTCAGGATAAATGTCCTCCTGAAGCTCCATCTCTTTCCAAATGAGAATTGGCAGGAGACCCACTGAGCTATAGCTGAATATGATTTGCTCCTCCCTTTCCTCCACTACAGCTCAGTGAATCTCCTGCCTTTTCTCATTTGGGAAGAGACAGAGTTTCAGGAGGACATTTATCATTAGATCCCACAGCCAGATTGACCAGCCAAGTAGATCAAATGTTGCTAACAGTCTAAAGCAGGGGTCTTCAAACTACGGCCCGTGGGCCACATCCGGCCCGCATTGCTGTTTTGTCTGGCCAGTTCCCTTCAGCCCATGTGTGCATGCTGGCGGGGGGGTGCGGCTGGGCACACGTACGCATGTGTGTGCGCACACATTCCTGTTCCTTCGGCCCTCAAAAACTTTGAAAATATCCGGTGTGGCGCTCACTATAAAACATTTGGAGACCCGTGGTCTAGAGGTTCCATCGCTTATTTATAGAATCTAACAATTAGGCAATGGTGAAATCCTGTTAGCAGAGCTGCGTGTTGTAAATGCTCTTGATGTCATCAACAGGCAATGTTAATATTAAATTAATTAAATTTAATGTTTCCTATCCAACCCCTTTTGGGTTCCAAGGCACCCTATAGATCTCTTTCAATCTGGGGAAGCCTTTGGGAGCCTTGGGGGCAGTGGGGAGAGAGACTTTTATATCTGAAAATTGCAGCTGTCAATCCCACAGCAAGAATTAGGAACTATGTTGACCATTTTTAAGTATTAAAGACTATCCCCACCCCCACGACGGGGAGGGTAGGAACTTTAAATTAAATTAAAGATTAACTCTCCCTGCTGATAACATCATCAGAATTTACAACACAGTTCAGAGTAGGTCTTTGGTCTAGATAGGTGGGATATGTCTAATAAATAAATAAAATAAAGTTCAGTCAACAGGATTTGAGACTGTGATATATAAAAGGAGAAAAGAATGTTCTGAGTTTCACCTGGCAGATGTTAGCTACTTGTCTGAAATTAAATGTTTGAAGAGGACTTTATATGTTTGTAAAAATCAGATAGTCTTTTGAGTTGAAGTACCTGATTTGTTATGTAAATATATTAATATTGCTATGCAAAAAAACTGTATGAGAATAATAGTATTATATATCGTTTAAGATTATGTTAGGGTCTATAGTCTTTGTGTTTCAGTTCATGACAGTTACTACCAACACTGAAGTAAGAGAAACCTAATTACAGCTCACAACAAAAATAAGCACTGCTGAAAATATCTAAAAACACTAACAAATTTGTCAAAGGCAACTTCTATAGAGTTTAAGATGTTTTTTGATATTCCAAGGTTCATTAAACCCCACATATAAAAGAAACAAAAGAATAACCCTATATATAGTATATTTAAAGCAAATCCCATTGAATACAATTGGGCTTACTATAAACTGTATATAGGATTGCACCTTATGGAGCTTTGTTCCATTCAGCTATCATTTCCTTTTTCCTCTTTTCCTCTATGTACTGCTTATTGTTAAAGCATATGTGTATTATTTAAATGAATAAAGCTTTTACTATATCATACATATTAATGTTAATGTTTTTAAAGTTTTGATATTGTTGTACGCCGCTCAGAGACCACGGGTAATGGCGCGGCTTTAAAATCTTGTAAATAAATAAATGCACAAGTTGCCTTGCAGAAACACCTGACCAAGGTTGTTTGATTAATCAAATGTGATAAATCCCCTGTGTCAATAACAGTTTTTATATGGAAATGAATAGTGCAAACTGTATGCACACAAGACAGGGACAGCCATTTACCTATCTATATCTTAGTACTGTGCTATTATGAAGGAGTTTAAACTCTTTTTTAGCCAGGGTTACTAAGGGACCCATTTATACAATAAGCATAATTAAATGGAAGAAAATTTATTTGACTACAGTATATGATTTTTAGACTGCTGGCAGACAATTATAAGTTTGAATATTTCCAATTTTTATAAAAATACCTCCTACCTATTGAAAAGGAACATGCTGGAGGAGAGGCTGGGCTGAATCTTGGATGCTGATGTCTAAACTTACATTATCTCATTTCTGCCAGTCTTGAAACAGAGTCAGTTGCCAAGTGGCTTTGTTATAGCACATCAGGTATAGCTGTTTGATGTCCCTTGAATAACTATATAGATTAGCCTGCTGCTTAAAGAAATGTGTTCCCTAAATAAAAACATTTATTATATCTTTGTTTAGTAGTCTTTTAACTATCTTCACCTACAATGTATGGACTTAACGAAATAATGTAGTACATCCAGCAGAGTAATTCTTCAACTTGCAAAATGTATCATTTCTAATATCATGTGAAGAGACACAGAAACATCAGTTTACAATAAACATTGTCATGTGGAGTATCAATACATTGGTTTTGGATTCACACAGCTACAAAAAAGAGTGTTTAGGCATGTTACATTTTATAGATCCTATTTTCTTCAAACTAAAATTACCTTTCATTAAATCAAAAGCTTTGTGGAATTCTAATCAAACCTTTAGCACATTATAGAAACAATAGTTTGCAGTGAGATTAGCAGATGCACTCACAAAGTATACTGCATGGTACATGTATGTAAGCATAGGAAGAAAAAGACAGGTTACTTACCTGTAACCATGGTTCTTCAAGTGGACCTCTGTGAATTCACACAAAAGGGTTGCAGTTTCACCGCATGCTCCACCCGCCTCAGCTCCCAGTTCCATTTATCCGCCACCATAACCTGAGTTTAAGCTAGATATGTTCAGTGACGGATAGTGGGGAGGCCTGGCGGAATGTGTGAATTCACAGAGGTCCACTTGAAGAACCATGGTTACAGGTAAGTAACCTATCTTCAGCGTGGCCTCTGTGAATGCACACAAAAGGGTGACTAGCATGCCCACATACCAGAAGGAGGGCCGTCACTGAAGGATGGATGTCAGCACAGCTCTCCCGAAGCCTGTCTCTCTTTTAGCCCTCAGGTCTAGTCTGTAGTGGGTTACGAAGGTTGAGATGTTAGGCCAAGTAGCTGTCCTGCAGATGTCAGGAATGTCAATGCCACGTAGCAGGGCTGTAGAGGCAGCCATAGCTTCTCCTGTCTCACTTTCTACCTTGCTCCAGTACTTACGTCACCTTTTTGACCTTGGTCTTTCTCTGTCGACCCTTAAGGTTTATATTGCTGCAATTGTATCTTTTCAACCCAGGGACTCGAGTTCAGCATGCCTTTTCTCTCATCCTACACTCGAGGCGTTCCTTAAAGGCCTCACTAATCTTAAGCCACCCACTAAGTCACCTACACCTCAGTGGTCTCTTCATGTGGTTCTGCATGCACTGACTCATCCGCCTTTTGAACCTATGGTGACATGTGATCTGCGGTTACTATCCTTTAAGACCTTATTCCTCGTGGCCATCACATATGCACGAAGAGCGAGTGAACTTGCAGCTCTTCGATCAGATCAACCGTATTTGCAATTTTTTAGAGACAAGGTGATGCTACACCTAGATTTGTCCTTCTTGCCCAAGGTGGTCACTGACTTTCATTTAAATCAACCACTGCTATTACCTACTCTTTTTCTCAGATCCGAAGACTGACACTGAGCGCATGCTTCACACCCTTGATGTGCGAAGAGCCTTAGCGTTTTATGTTTCCCGTACCAAAGACTTCTGTGCTTCTCCTAGACTGTTTTTATGCTTTTATGGCTGTAAAAAAGGCTCTGCAGCTTCGTCCTCAACCCTCTCCAGATGGCTTGTCTCGACTATCTCATTGGCGTATGCACTACAGCACAGGACTCTGCCTGAAGGCCTTATTGCTCACTCCACCAGAGCTATGGCTGCCTCTACAGCCCTGCTACGTGGCATTGACGTTCCTCCCCACTATCCGTCACTGAACATATCTAGCTTAAACTCAGGTTATGGTGGTGGATAAATGGAACTGGCGGGTGGAGCATGCGCTATTGGGGTAACTTAAACTTTGTTACTTTTCTCTTGAAGGTCTGGAATATTCCGAGAGGTCCAGCGCAGGCGCTGACTTAACCCTTTTGTGGGCATTCACAGAGGCCACAATGAAGAATAAAAGGCTCACATAAGTTTTCCAATTTTGAAACCGTTAACATTTCCATTTGTTTCATCATTCCATGTGGAAATATTTTTTCCTTTGTCATTCCTTCTAAATAGTTCCCTGATATGAAATGATTTGGGGTATTTCAAGTTTAAAATTTTATCATGCAATTTTTTGTAGGCAGGAATAATTTCCTTTTGCAGTTTTCCTTATTTACTTGCTGTCAAACACATTGCCTTGCCAATAGGATTTCAACAGGGTGAAACTGCACCACAGGAAACTGCCCTGTTAATTTCTATACATTTTGTGCCAGCAGTGACAAATATCCATCTGGCGCATCTTTTCATTAGCAATACTTTCATTTGAGAACATCCTTACTAAGCCAGCAGGTATGAGACAATCAAGCTTAGGTATTCGATCATCTTCTTAGCTTGCTTGAAATACAGAAATCTTCATTATAGGGCATGCCCCTAGTGTGCCTCATAAAGTGACACTTTGACTAATTAGCCTTATCTGTATAACGAGACATAGCAAAATACATATGGCCACATTCTAAAGCCTTTTGCTTGCATCAGTGAACATGTGCACGAACATGTATATATACACACACACATTATATGAATACTGTACAGATGGGTGGTTACGGGAAACAATCTCTTGATTTAAACAAGACGTCTCAAGAACTTGATCCTGACAATATGGAACATGTTTTCCTGTAGGAGCTTTTCATTTCAGAACCAGCAGGACATCGAAAAGGACAGAATTTTATAATCATAATGCTATGAATTACAGAGCAGCCTACAGAGCTGTCAGTGTCCTATCTTCAGGAAATTATTTTATTGATAATGCTAACTAAATCCGACAAGAAACATAGGCTTTGCATCAACCAATATGAAGTCGTTCATATTGATGTAGATGAGCTCTTTGGAGGTGTAATCACCTCATACATCCTTTTGAAGAGTAATCTCCATCCCATGGATATTCTGACAGAACTATTATCTTGATGGAACTCAAGTGCTATATTATTCTACAGTCATAGCAGCTTTCTGTTCACACTTTCAAAGGAAGCGAGAATAGAAACATTAAAAGGCTGAATTAGGGGTCAGAAACCGAAGACATAAGCTGTCCTTTTAAAACAAGGTGGGCAAGTGTGGGAGGTCCAAGAACTAATTCTTCCTCTCCAAAATACAGGGGACCTTGACCAGACTCCTTGGTGCTGTGTTGCCACCGGGGGAATCTCTTTATTTCAAAAAAAAGAGGAAATGCTCATTTGAAAAGGATTCTCGCAGTGTGCTGTTAGGAAAAACACTTTATGATAAACATCCCACTTGACATAAGGAAGTTGTTCTGTTTGTTGTCCTCCAGAAATGCGGTGGCATTACTTTTACGGGGCAATATGTGTCACAAGATTGATTTTGGAAGCTGCATGAAATCCACAAGTCACATACGGCTCATCCCATCTCAAGAGGGGTTGATAGGTAGCAGCTGAAGAGAGAGAACTGCTGCAACCAAAGCAGGCAGTCCTTGGCTTGATGGATCAACAGTCATACTAATGCACATTTATTTCATTTGCAATCTATAGACAAGGAAGACATAGGAAAAAAAGTAATTTAAGAAAAAGGTAACAGAACATGTGACATGGACCTCTTTTGTAATGGCAAGGTCCTGGCCCATCACTGCCTGCTCTTGTTTGCGACCACCCAGCGGAATTGGCTGCAA